TTGGTGGTTTATACAATATCGAAGGAAATGATTGGGTGTTTTTCACTCGATGGTAACTGAAAATTCTCTTTAATATTGTATAGAACTCGAAGTTTTATCCCTTTGCCGATGCTAAAAATAATCAAAAACTGCTTACTTCCTAAAACAAAATTTCATTAAAATTAACTACAAATCATGTAGATTATGGTCTCCTAATGGAGCACGAAGTTAAGAAGAAAAATTTCAAACCAATTGCTTATTTATTTCATTTTAGAACACAAATGCAAAAAACTGACCACTTGCAAGAAACTGACCTTTTGCCACTGAAACTGACCACAGAACCTGAAAACTCTTCTATAGGACTTAAAGCGTGCATAAAATGATGGCAAAGCGACGAACCTCACTTATATAGGACATAGTGAACTTTCGAAAATAATATAAGAAAAACTTTGCTGGAAACAATAGAAATTGCTTGCAAACTTTTCATTGATTTCACAAAAGTGTATTGATATATATTAGCCAAGTTCTTGATCTTTTCTGAAAGATTTAAAGGGCTTATTGACGAATAATGACGAAATTTTCAGTATTTTAACTTCTAAAGTGTAAGTTTGGTGTACTTATACTGAACTTAAGCAATTTATGTGGCAAATCATAAAGATTCAAATTCAAATAATAGTTCGCATAATTGGCATAATAATAAAAATTAAAAATAAGCAATTACTTTTGCTTCTAAATGAAATACATACATATACATAATATATGGACATTATAAATTTAACACATAAGTTTGTATCATCTGTAAAAAACAGCAGTAATGTAAAACGATTTTTCGTGAGATTTAAACTATATTAAGGGGTACTTTTGTGTCGTATAACACGTTTTTTTTTTTTTTGTAACACCTCATAAGGAATAAGATTGCTATATTTTCGTAAACATCTAGTTTTTGCATTAACATTAAATGTGATAAATAAGGTATAAATGTATGGAATATTCGTATATGAATTATATTCTGATTAATGAAATAATAAATTAAGGCAGATATCTATTTGTGAAGTGTGAAATCAAATAAAATTGTGGAAAATAAAATAATAAAATTTAGAAAATCAGGTATGAAGATATTGTTTTATTTTTCAGCATTACTACATACCGAATTATATAAGAAAACATAAGTTTATTAATATTCGTATAAATAAATCCGTTAATATATGTGTTTATGAACCAGTGTATTCAAAGCAAAATATTTACAATAATTTCACACTTTCCTTTGTTAAAAATAAAACAATCTTGCATAATGCTCGGGCGATTCATTCGGGTGATTCTCATTTATTTACTTCGGCATAACTTTTTCCAATAAAGTTCTCTTTATAAAACATGAGAGCCCTTTTGAATAATAATAAGAATCTCTTTGTGAAAAATATGCACATGATTCTGCTAATCATTCCTTAAATTAAGCTAAATTCTTTCCAATATATTTTAATGTCTAAGTTATTAAAAATATATATATGTGCTTCTTTATAATTAGAATTACTTGCGTTATTTAGAAAAAGATAGGAAATGCAAGTTAGTTTACAATTTCTATATGTATTGTATTTAAATAAATGGTTAATTCAATTTCTACACAAAATTTCAAGAAATTTTTGCCAGAAGATTTTTTTTTAATGCAGCTGCCAATACAGAGACAGTTATGTTTAGACTCATAAAATTTGATATAAAAAAATCATTGATAATGTTAATTTCTTTTTTAAACCATAACAAATGCCTTTGTATTGTACTTTCACATGTGGTTTTCATACATATTTAGAAAAAAAAAAATTTAATATTAATTTCAACCTAAATTTAAGTCATCATGTAATTAAATGCAAACATATAATGGTCAAAAAAATTTATTATGTATGATAAAATGATCCCATATGTTAAAAATAATGTGTGTAATTATAGCATTTTTTTTTTTTTTTTTGCAATGTTTATTAAGGAAATTTCAAAGAGGTATATTGTTTAAAAATACTGCTTTTAATAAAAATAGCGTTCTAAAATAAAAATATTGGTACTTTAAGTAATCCCTATGCATATTAACGTTTTATTTTTGAATATATTTAAAATATACTTTTAGGGAGGTAATAAGTACAATAAAAACGTTATTTATATTGTTTATAGGTAAGCAAAAAAAAAATGAGGAATAAAAATTCTATTTAATTCATTTCTGAGCATTATAAATTTTTTCGAAAAAGTTCGAATTTATTATTAATGAAAAACGACAAAAAAAATTAATGACTTTTGAAAAACTGTAATTGCGCTCATTTTTTTTTTCATAATAAATTATCTTTAAAGCATTTTTATTCAAATTATATTATCATATATTTTTGAATGAAGTGTATGAACAATGAATTACATTTACGAAATAAACAATTTTAAAAGATTTATATGGTTATTTCTTGAAAAACAATCAAAAGGGGAAAAATACCAAAAGGTGAAGAATCAGAAGATAAAACAAAGGGTAAACAATATATCGCTAAAAGATTCATCATATGAATTATTTCTTAAAAAATAATCAAAAGGTAAAAAAAACTAAAAGGTAAAAAAATCTAAATGTAAGAAACATATATGTAAAAATTCATATGAATTATTTCTTGAATGGCAATCAAAAGGTAAAAAAACCAAAAGGTAAGAATTAAAAGATAAATCAAAAGGTAAAAAATATATATCTAAAAGATTCATTTGAATTATTTCTTGAAAACCAATCAAAAAGTAAAAAACCAAAAGGTAAAAAATATATCTCTAAGCGATTCATATGAATATTTTCATGAGTGACAATGAAAAGGTAAGAAAACCAAAAAGGTAAAAAATCAAAGTATAAAAACCTTTCTCTAAAAGGTTCATGTGAGTTATTCTTGAAAACGATCAATATGAAAAAAATGTAAAAAAATCAAAATGTAAAAATTATATCTCTACAAGAATCATATGAATTCTTGAAATTCCTGAATTTCTTGAAAACAATCAAAAGGTATAAAAAAACCAAAAGGTAAAAAACAAAAGATAAATCAAGAGGTACAAAATATAGCTCTATTTCCTTTCAAAGGAAATTGCTTAAATGTATTATTATTGAACTTATATAAAAACTGTATACATAAATAATAAATTTGGTTTTTTTAAAAATGACTACTTTTAATTGATGACATTTTATTACAGTTTGCTGATAAAGTAATTAAGCATAAAATATGATGGTAAATTTCTCTTTTGCCAGCTATCGGAACTGGAAATTACAGTTTCTAGGAAACAAAGTATAGCCTCAGAGGAAAAAGATTCAGAAAAACAAAACATTAAAAATTTTCACAATTATGAGGCAGCCATTTTATTTTACTGCTAGAAATATGTTTTCGCAAACGGCAAAATGTGTGACGAAATTTTCATTTCTGGCAATTGCTATCAGTAATTTACTGCGCTAATGGTTGGTATGTAACATTCTCTAGAATACTCCTTTTTTTTTTATGAATCAGAATAAACGCTTCAGCAATTCGGGATACATAAATCATCGATTACAATCATTTTGACTCGATACATAAAAATAATCGATAAAAAAACTGAACCAAACGATATTTTTCAACTGACTCGAAACAATCTGGCAGCAGCATAAATGTTAATAGAATGCACAGCGTAAAAATTTTCGCTCATTTTAATGGCGAACGGAGAACTTATGAATATTGAAAATTATCTCAAGGAATGGACAGAAGGAAATATTAATAATAAAAAAAGAACTAAACAGCCTTCAATCGGGATTGAAGTGAAGTGGCGGGAATGATGATGATGAGAATTCTTCAGTTGCTTCAGTGAGCATGAAGATTATTGATTTTGTTTTGTGTTGGAAACTCTACTTTTTGTTTTGATGTTTTTTTTTTTTTTTTTTTTTTTGAAAAATGATGAATGGTTTTCAAAGCGGTAATCGACTTTGTTGCTGCTTGGAAAGAGTGAATGTTTCGGTTGAAGGAAAAAACGTTTAGAATAATAACAGTTGCGATTGGTAAAGTTCGAAACATTACGATCCGCTTGGTAATAACATAATTGCAATTGATTTTTTGGATTATTGGGCTTTATCGAACGTGTAATATATAAATAAATAAGACTATCATAATTTTCTAATAATATTGTGTGTTTAAATGTATTTTACTATCAAAATATATCCTAAAATATATTTTCCTCTTTTATTTCAGCAAACGCTATTGGATATAAGTATTAACGGTTAATTCGAATATTCCATCTCTCAACTTCTGGGAATTTCGGGTCCTGATAGCCGAGTGGCTAGCACTCAGGCGCTCGGTACCAAAGGTCTCGGGTTCAAGCCCGTTTGAGCCATGGATGTTTGTAGTGATTCGAATCCACTTTAAACCGTAGGTCGCGAATAAATAGGATCGTAGAGCGTTGTGGCGGTAATGTTACTCGCGTCCGTAGCATATTTTCAAGCTACACGTTCCCCCTGGGTAATGCTGAATGAGTAAAAGCAGGGCAGCCCTTGTTTATGGCATAAAGATTAACTGTCTCTGTATTGCCAGCTGTATTAGAACAGCAACAACTTCTGGGGGATTTGGTTTGGTTTGTCGCTCTACGGTCATTTGTTTTGCACAATTTAGGCTAATTATACCTGGACCTACAATCTAACATGGATTCCGAACCACTCACAAACATCCATGCCACAGTCAATATTCACACCTTAAGCACCAACGATCAGAGCGCTAGCCAATTGGCCATCAGGCCGCCTACTTCTGGGGAAGGAGAAGTTATGCTTTTAAAGATAATCAGCTCTAATTTTTTGTATCATGTTTGATAAACCCATATAACTTCCATCAGCTAATCCGAGACAAAGTGAGATACTCGTTTGTCCCTGGAAAACAAAAACATAAAATCTGCAAAATAAATATTTTTAATGCTTTTAAAATTTTGGTGATACAAATGTTATAAAAATAAATATCAAAGACATTGATTTCATGAAAAAATAAATATATATATATATACTTATATTAATACTAGCCAACGGCCATACCATACTGAATATACCGGTTCTCGTTAGATCACCGAAGTCAAGCATCATTGGGCGCGGCCAGTACTTGGTGGTGGGTGACCACCTGGGAACACCGCGTGCCGTTGGCATTCGCAAATTTGGGACCTGAATGGCCGAGTGTCCACAGCGCTCTGACGCTCGGTGCCACAGGTTTCGGGTTCGAGTCCCGGCGGTGCCATGGATATTTGTAGGGGTTCGGAATCCACTTTTAAGCCGTAGGTCCCAGTCTCCTATGACTGTAAGAGCGTAACGGAGCCAAAGTCAGACTTCTACCTACGGGTGCTCCACTTCACAACAGAAGCTGCTTCCTTCCCCTTCAATCATGAGTACGTATGGGCTCATGGGCTTGGCTTCTCAGCCAAAGGGGATAAGAAACAACAAACAGCAATATTAATACTAAAATATTATCACTCAAAAGCAGACTTTGAACAATAGGACAAATGTACCCAATTATCAGCGTAGTTGCTTTTAAACATAAGATTCCGTGATTTGGACTCCTTGTAAGAAGTTATAATTAAATGTTGTTATAATTATAAGAGGCCCACATTTTATTTCAGCATATTAAATTAATATTATTATTTAAAAATATTAATTAAGATAATAAAATAATAATAATAATAACAGTAATAATAATGGACCTGAATGGCCGAGTGCCTTTGCTTTCTGGCGCTCGGTGCCATCCACTTTTAAACCGTAGGTCCCGGTCTAATAGGATCGTAGAGCGTTGCGGGTGGTATTGTGACTCCGCGTCCGTGGCTTGTCTTCAAGTTACACGCGCTCCTGGGTAATGCAAAGTGTGTAACGTCTGTGACGCGCTTGCCTTAAGACATCCAAGATCAAGTTGTCTAAGTGTTTGCCAGCTGATTAGAAAGAAAAAAACAATGATAATAATAATAAATAATAAATTAAAATAATAATTACAATATTATTAATTAAAAATTATTTTTAAATTTATTCGAGTAGGTAATTCATTTTGAAGGAATAAATTTGTAAACTTGTTGTAGAAATAAATATTTATTCAATTATTAAGCTCAGTCATAAAAACGAACGAAATTATTGAAACGAAACTTATCCGTACTGCAATAGGTTATTCTAAATATAAGTTTGAGTTAATGATATTATGTTCTTGTACCAAACCATTATATTATCAGAGTTGTGTTACTCATTTTTTTTTTCATTATTTTTCAGAGTTGTCTTTCTTTATTTTCTTTTCTTATGAAACTTTATTTTGCCAATTATATAAAAAAAAAAACAGTCGTGAGCAGAGCGTAAAATATTTTTAGTAAGTTTTTTTAAACAAAAAATTAATAAATAAGGTAAATCTAAAATTATAATCTTGTCAAATGTCGTTAGTATAATAATAACGACATAGTATAGTAATGTCGTTTCATGCACTTTTAAATCGTTGAAATTAGGAATTTTAATCGCTTAAATAAGTAGTATTAAATAAAAAATAGAACAATTAAATATAAGAATTTTATGCTCACTGCTTTTACACAGTTTTATGTTACTAGAAATTCAAATATATATATATATATATTAATTTATTGTTAATTTAATTAATTAGTATATTAATTTCAATGGGGCATGGAAATTAATGGCAGGTTGCCTTCAAAAAAAGCACTGGCCAGTGAGGTACAGACTTAATTTACAGACAAAGAAATCTTTGTCATTTTCGATGGCAAAATTTAAATTTGTGTAAAAAAAGGTTTGATATTTAATTGACAATTGGGATTTTTGCCTCCATATAGAAGAACAATCTTAAAATTTCTGTAAATTAAAAAAGATCTTCTTATTTTCCTTTTAATATTTTTATATTAACATGAAAAGTTTATGTCCGTAACGATTTAATTTTATAATGTTAACGAAAATCTATGACCTTTATGGTAACAAATAACATAAATAAATTTTTGCAATTTACACATTTTTTTAAAGCAATTGGGAGATGTACTTCTGTAAATTACAGATCGTATGATATATAGTATTTTTATTGTGACTCAACATTAGATATTTGTGATTTTTTTTGATGTCCCAAAAATGTGTGGATGGCAAAAATGATTTTCGTAAATTATTTCAACAAACTCAAATGATATATTGCATTAGATAAATTATATATCATTATAACTTTAAAGTATATAATTATATCAACATTATATTATCATTATTAATCATTATATAATTATTAATATGACATAACGATATAATAATTACATAATATATCATTATATACATAATAATATAAGTAAGAATTAATTTTTCAATCAATATTTTGCCACGGGAATTCAAATTTTTTTTTTTTAAAGAAAGTTTCAATTTAAGAAACAATTATCTGCTAAGAGAATCATTATTCTTAATATTTTCTAATACAATAAAAACCCTTCAAACTCAGAAACTTGTTTTCCACCCACATTTACTTAACAAGCAAAATATTCTGTGCTCCTAACAATAAATACCGAGAGGCTAGCTCAGAAAACATTCTGCGGCAGCAAACAAATTATTTCTGCTCTCTGTATCCCTAAAATTCGTATTCCAGTTTGAAGAACGCAGATTTCTCTTGACGAAATGCAGACGATCCTCCTCCTGCTGCCAGATCCCCAGCACTAAGCGTGTTAAACGAAAATTCGTTGAAAAATGGAGTTGCCAGGATCATCTATCTATCCCGAAATGCGGGAGAGCCGGCAAGTAAGCCATTACCGTTGCCATTCGCGTAGTAGTAATAAGCGCAAAGAGAGGGGCCGGATAGGCAGTTGAATTATTATCCGTCTCATCTCATTGTCTACCTGTTTCACACCTCGCTGGCAACACCTACTTGAAGAGATAGTTCCCTTTTGCTGTTGCTCTTTATTTTGCTCTCTCTCTCTCTGTGATTTTTTCCTTCTTTTCTTTTTTCACGTTTGGCAACGGCATCATACAGTTATTCTCAGCTAGTTCTTTTAAAGTAAGTGATTTTTCTTTACTTTTCTTTATGGCAATGAATAATTTAAAATTTAAAAAGTAGTTCCTTACACTTTTCATTGTTCTTATCTTAAAAGTGCATGATCATCTCAGAAGTAGTAATTTCTGGGCTAAGATTTGTTTAGAAATTATGTTGATGCTTCTCTAAAAGTTGTGTTGTTTCTTTTAAAATAGATATTTAACTGCAAAATGGCTTAGAGAATAAGCTTTTAACAAGTCTTTTCATAATTTTTTTAGATATTTATTTCAAATTTCTTTATAATCAAATAAATTTCTTTTTAAAAGTACATGATCATCTCAAAACTGATTTGTTTTTAGAAATTATTTTAAGTTCCTTTTAAAAATTGTGTTGTTTCTTTTAAGATAAATAACTGCAAATATAAAGATAAATATACTGCAAAATAAATTACAGAACTATTTTTAACAATTCCTCTATAAATTTTTTAGATATTTTTTTCCAACTTTTTAAAATTTCATCTTAACATTACTTAAAAAATTATAACTAAATATAACTATTAACAGTAAAAAATTATAACTAATCACAAAAATATTCAAAAGATAAAGCTCCAGCATAATTAACTATAATTACAATTAAATAGTGTTTGTATATTGAAATATGATCATCTCAAAAGTAACAATTTTCTGGGGTAAGATTTGTTTAGAAATTATGTTGAAGCTACTCTTGAAAATTGTGTTGTTACTTTTAAGATAACTATTTAACTGCAAAATACCTTAGAAATTATCTTTTAACAAATCGTTTACAATTTTTTTTTAGATATTTATTTCAATTTTTTTTATAATTAAAATATCTTTTTTTTTAATTCCCGTATATTATAAGTTTTTTACTAAATTTTATTTAGTCAACAATTTCATTTTTGGTTCAGTAGTCGGTAGAAAGGTAAATATGAATTCAAATGTGATGTCTTATGTTAACATAAATGAAACAGCTTTCATAAAATGATTCAATTTTAGTTGTTTTTAACAATTATATGTACTTTCACGTTGAAAATACACAAATAATATTAATTCTAGTATTTTATATAAATAAAAATAGTTTAAAAAAAAATTTGTTTGTTTAGACACTCTCTACAAATACTACGAAATAAAATATTTTCTTTAAGTATTATTTAAAATCCTTTAATGTTAATATATTTGATAATTTATCATTTAAATGACAATTTCTTTTTTCCTCTGTAAGTTAAAAATATGGTGAACTAATTTATATACATTTTAAACTTACACGCTGTTAATAAAGACGATGTAGCATATCTTATATTAGAAAAAAACTATCAATTATTATATTCGAAACATGACTACCTAAACGCAAAAAGTAATTAAAATCATTATCATTATATTTTTAGATTAAATTCACTAGTTTTCGTTTCGTGATAAATTAACGAAGGATTTTGATAAAAATATTTATATGTATAATTAAAATATATATATAAAATTCACTAGTTTTTATATGTATAATTAAAATTTGATAATATATTTAATTTAAACCTAATATTTATTGTATTTAAGAAACAATGTTTATTATTATAAAATATTACTAATTAAAATTAATAAAAAATTATAACTAATCATAAAAATATTCAAAAGATAAAGCTCCAGCATAATTAACTATAATTACAATTAAACAGTTTGTATATTGAAATATGTCAGCATTCCAAAATAAATATAGTTTGTATATCGAAATGTGGTGTTGAAAATTATAGAAAACCAGCATCCTTTGACAATAGGTCTGATGACAGACAGTAGAACATAAGTGTTTATATAAACTCAAGAGCCAAAGCATTATGACCACCCCTACATTTTTGCAATGAACTCGCCTGGATGACGTGGAAGGCACGTGATCAGGTGGAAGTGGATATTTAACTGGTATTAAGTAGTGGTATTAATCCATGCCAAGGCGGGTTGAAGCTGTGTTGCGCGCCAAAGGTGGGCCAACTCGTTATTGACAGGGTAGCCATTGTGTTTTGGCTCTTGGTATATTTGTATGCTGTTAAGTGGTCTTCAGTTTTCGGCATGGTCGTCCGGTTGGCCTGTATGCATTGTAATGGAATGCTGGTAACTTGTCTCAATCAAAACGAACTGATACAATGCACATCATCGCAATGGAATTTTTCG